GAAGCTAAAAGAGGTGAATATGGCTCCAAGAACTAGTGTGTGTTCTTGGTGATCTAGCCAAAAAGGAATGATTTCATGGATGAAATCATAGAGTGATACTAGATCAATGAGTGAATCAACTAAACAAAGGAAGAAATCACTTACATATTTGAAGATCAAAGTGAAATGCTCGATGATACTTGAGAGAGAATGGAAGTTCTTGGCTTGAAAGTGGAAGAAATGAAGAATAATTAAGGAATATAATTCTTATGGGGTGAGTTTACGGCCGTAAACTCATGATGTTGTGGCCGTAAACTTCTCTTGATGGAGTTTATGGCTTGAATGTTATATAGTGGTGCTATCAGATACTTCCTTAGACTCATTCTTTGAATGTATTATCCTTAGAACACTCAAATAGACTCTAAACTATGCTAAAAGATAGCAGGAACGAGTCTAACTTAAGGTTAAATGTACTGAATTTTAAGGCAAAATTTTTCGGGTTGTCACAATTAATTTAACCTTTTAGATACATGTGTACACTTCAAAAAACAAAACTTACTTTTCTAGTATATCTCGCTTTTACTTTTAAAAAATGATACCATCTTTTGTTATTTTACATCAACATCACCATGCCAAGCTAACCAATGTACTTTAGTTAGGAAAATTATAAGCATCCATTAGAAGCTACCATTTTGTCTTACAATTATCAAAGCAAAATGTCCATCTATCATATCCTCGAACTCCTCGATCTTGCCACATCAACTATAGGATATCGATAAAAAGATCAACTGTATTTATTTCTAACATACCAAAGGTTCATTAATGTTCAACTATTATTTTAATAAAATATACCGATATTGAAAATTAAAAAAGTATATAATATAAAAAGGTATAATTTAAGATTGTATGGTTAGTAAGCCGTTTATCATATCCCTGTTTCTTTCTTAATAGCTCCACCATTTAACCGCGTGTAATAAAAAAAGAACAACAATGAGTAATGATAAATTAAATATTGATACAATATTTTTTAAATATACCTCTATTCTAGCATATATGTCATAATCACCAATGAAAACCTAACCTTTCATATGTTTCATCTTCACATGAATTTATAGAGAGCACATATGAAAAACACCGAATAAAAGAAGGCAAAAGTTATAGCATAAATTTTAGAAGTATCATATGTATGCATCATTTCATATAACTTACATATCTGATATCAAATGAAAAAGAGAAATTAAATTGATTGAGCATGTGGTGCTTTAACAAATCCAATGTTTTAGTCCATTGATGCCTCTTCAATTGTCATTTGATTGTTCCACTTCCATAAACATTTAAATGAATAGAAAAACAAAAGTAGAATGCCCATTTCGAATCCGATGTAAAAAAAGTTGCAATCATTAACCATTAGGTATAATTGCAAAAGATGAATCAAGGATGATCAAAACTCCATCAGCTTCTTACCATGATGGTTGTAAAGCACATAAAATTCCTTCAACAAATCCAAAATTACAAACCTAAGACCCTTAAAATCAAGTAGGTTGATCTAGAACACTTATGCAATAAGATCACAAGATATGATTTATTTGGTTTCAGAAGAAATGCTTACAATGATTGGAGATGTAACTTTGAGAACTCGATCACAACCTAGGCGCCTTGCATAACCCTCACCATATTCTCCCACATGTTGTTTGTCACAACCCAACTAAGGTGACGGAACATGGCGAGCCATGCAAATTAGTTCATGGGTCACTGGTAAACTGAATATATAGCACAAGTACAACAACAAACAATACAATATTTATATTCCATCTTGATGTTCGAATACATGGTTCTTACATATAATAGTATAGTACATGAATTGCCTTAAACATGTAAGCAGATATATGATGTGCACGAAAGTACCCACTAATTTTATAATTTATAACCTAACTAACTTAGCTAACTAAAATGTACCTAGGCAGTGTACCTAGTCGAATTATAGAATAGTTTGGTAAGTCGGGTGTCGATCACAGGGAACGGTGTTGACTAATTAATTTATTTACTACTAAACCAACCTAATTACTAACAAAGGAAGGGGTTTTATCTAATTTTTCAAATTTATATGAACTTAATTCTTTAGCAAAAACTCAATCAATAAACAAACACTTCTGTTAGTTCGAGTCCGCTTTCACTCAATGGTTATACATTAGCTTTGACTATTACTGTTGGTTACCAATTAAAGAAGTATTAGCAATTTAGTTCTAAATATACTAATTATTAATCAATTCATGTGAATCTATGTATGGTCACAAAATAGTTAACGCATAATCAATTATCAGATAAGATTGGATCCATGAAAGATTGATTAATCAAAACAAAATTACAGTCATAATATGAGTTCTCTAACACAACTCAATTCAATGATTCAATTACTTATCTAAGATTAGTTTGATCTTAGCTCTAATAAACTAGTGTTCACTATATTATTAGGTATCCAGATTCATGCAGATTTGTGCTCACTAACTACACAGAACAAGAATTTTAAGCAATCAAATAATAAATTAAAGCATGCTAGGTAAAATTAATCGACACAAGCATATCACCAACAAGTAAAGTCAAATCTAATGCATTAAAACCATGAGTTCCAGCTTCATCTAGCTAACAGAAGCAGCTAGATTTGGCTGGACATCCTAACAGCTAAACAAACAAAACCTGTAATCAAAGACATGTTTAAGTGTACCAATCTATAAACCAAATTATGAATTTCTTCTTCCTTGGTGTTAAAACCAGCTTTCGGATCTTCTTTTCCTCTGAAATTCATCACCAGGAACCCTTCTAGGTCAGCCAAAAAGTCCCTCAATCGTAATGGGAAAGGGTATTTATTATATCTCCAAATTTACCGTTCACGTCATGAGAATTTGAGTGTCACGTCGTGAATTCATGATAATCGTGATCGGCAAGGATTCCTTCACCCGGATACTTATCTTCTAGAATTCCATATTCACGTCGTGAATACTACTTCCTCATGTCGTGAACTCGATTTTTTCTGATTTTTTCGTTCTTCTTTTCTTCAAGCTCCCCAAAGTTCCAGGTCTTGTCACTTTTGGTCCCTTTCTTCGAAAATACTTCTATTTGGCTCCACATAACAATTTATCCTTATAAGTACCATAATTCTATGCAAATAACCAAAATATTTATAAAAATTTAGATCAATATTGCCTAAAAATGTGTATAAATATGGCAATATCAAAATACCCCACACTTAGAATTTGCTTGCCCTCAAGCAAATCTACTTATTTAAAGTTAAACTTTCATCACTAGCATTACATAGAACAATCCAATTCCAGCTTAGCCATTATGCCAAGACCTCAACGTATGCATTTGTGTCTAAAAATTTTCCTATGTAACCCCCCTCAATTCTAAATACTTGCAATCCTCATAAACATTTGTCCACTTCTTTTAAGCAATGCTCATTTTATGCAACCCTCCGAATCCATCCTCAAAAATCCTACTTAACCTCAAAGTATTTTTGTAAAGCTACCCAAGCATACATAAACTAGAGAATTACAACTTTTTATAAGACACCACAAATTGGAGCTCTTGAATTCTTCTTTCTTTAATGTTTGATCTTTGACTTCTTTGAATTCACTTCTTTAATGATTTTTGGCATCTTCAACTTTCAACTTTGAGAATTTTGATCTTTTTGTTCTTCAAACTTGATACTTTTATGCTCCAAAATTCTTCCATTTCTTTACTTTTGGTAATTTCTCTTTTTTTACATGTATCTCACTTTTTTTTACATCACTCAAAAACCTACATGCTTAAGCAGGGATGCTTAACTTCAACCTTTATTGGTTAAGACATATCTTTCCTGGATACATTTCAGGTTTAGGGTGCTAAACATATTGCATTCCTCAAACTAAGCAGGGTTATGTTTTTGTCCCATGATTTCACTAGAATAAGGGAAGCCACAAATGCACTATAACGTGTATTGGCTCAACTAAACATTTGAGCTATCATCGGATCATCCCATATAACACTAGAAACTACAGTTCAAATTATTATTGTTAGATTCAATTATTAAAAATTCCAAAATTTAACAAATTATCTAGCAATTTATTTTTCTACCCCCTACCCCACACTTATTTTATACAATGCCCTCATTGTATGCGGAAAATAATATAAAAATTAAGAGAAAGGAGAAAAAGGAACAGAATCCCCTGTGATAGCATCGTGAACATCTCCAAAAGTGTGGTTGAAATATGCATCTCGAATATTGGACCTCTTGAAAAATAAGAACTTAGACTTGAACTTGCGAAACCAGCCATCAATCAAAACTTCAATCTTCGAAAAGAATGGTGCAAGCCTCCAAATCGTGTAGACAATGTGGGAAAGCATACACCACATTGTATATTTAAAGAAAATAACTCATCGAATCGTCACAAAAGTGTCATAAGGAATGGTAATAATACCGTATAAGGAAGAGGAACGTAACGAAATGAATATGGTGGAAATTCATAACTCACGTCATGAATGAGTACGGGTTCACGACGTGAAAACGCCGAAGCGTGCATTCTGATTTTTCTTGAAGCCTTGTTCACGACGTGAGAAATATTGGGTCACGACGTGAATCCTGGGTAAACCAAAATTAAAACTGCCTTCTTCCTTGTAAATATATATGTTCCACTCAACATCTTAATGAATTAAGACCCTTCTAAATTTAGTGTATTTTTACGACTCTTCTAACTATAACCTCTCTCTCTACTCACCCCACACTTATTTCCAATTGTGGGTTTCGACTTTTAACTTCTAGACTTGAACGAGACTTGCCAAAACAAATACAACTTTTGACTCGACCTTACACCTTCCAACAACTCCTTAGCAAGATGAAAGTTAACAATCAAGGAAAAGAGAAGTAACATAGTATCTTAAAGTATTACAATCGAAACAAATTTAAAAACAAAACAAACCAAACAAGTCTAAAACAAACAAAATAAAAACCAAATGATCAATCATCTTCATCCTCCTCGTGTGCTCCACTAGTGCCCTCCCCATCTCCTCCATGTCCTCGATACTCTGTCCACCTCGGGAAAATTGGGTAATGATACCCAAGATGAGGCGGCTGCTCCATATGGAAATGCTGAACCATGTTCTCCATAGTACCCCCAATCCATATCGTCCCTAATATGGGATCCTACCATGGGTGCGGGTGGATGCATTGGTTTCCCCCTTTCTCCTCTTCCTATCACGTTTCTGAGCCTCGGCCGTGGCTTTGGTTGTTGTTCTAGTTGTGTATCAGGCTGCTCATCACCCTCATTACCCTCATCATCGGAGGGTACTATCCCCCAATGTGACCCAAAGTTTCTGACAACCCGCATGGTCTCCAAATACCCCATGCCAAAATCATGCTCATCCACACAAGTCATGGAACGAGTAATATCAGGGACAAACAAATGATATGAGCAGGCCAAATGCGTAATAAATTTGATGGGTTTTGGTCATAAGACATCCTATGTGCTCATACAAACCCTAATGCTTGGATCTAGGTTTCTCTATTGTACATGCTTTGAATCCAAGACTATAAACCCTAATTCTAGCATATGGAAATCGGTATTAACATATAATTAGGTTTAAGATATTACCTTGATTGTTATGTAGCAATAACAATCCTAATTCCACCTTGATTTGACTTTGGAATGCTTAGAGTCACAAGTATCACTCCTCTAATGGCTTACAAACACCAAGAGCAAATGGAGAAGGTATAAGGAGAGAGGAGAGGTATAAGAATTCGTCTCTAGGACCTCTTGGGAAGGCTTACACGAAATCATGTGTCAAGGGGGGTTTATATAGGTGTACAGATAGGGTTTCAGTCATTATCCTTATCTAGTTGCTTATCCACCAAGCAACCCATAAGATAATCCTTGAATCCTTATAATAGTCGAATTCTAAGGCCTCATCACCTTAAATTCGTCCATCCTAATAATCAGATAATCCTTACCTTATTTTGTAACTATCACATAATTACAAATCAGCCCCTCTAGTTTAATTAATTACACTTGATCACAAAATTAATTCTTAATTAATTATTAACCAATATTAATTAAACAAATATGATTTCTCCTTTAATATATTATTCTTATAACATATTAATAAATCATATTATCTCTCTCTCTCTCTCTCTCTCTCTCTCTTTATTTATTTCTCCAATCAAGTTGCTTTGGTGAAGGCAACCCAAAATGACCATGCACCATCGGGTCAAGTACATACCAAAATAGTTATGGACTTAGACACTAATCCAACAGTCTCCCACTTGGATAAGTCTAATAACTATTCTGCGTATGACTTCAGATCCTGATATGCAATCGTAGCTTTCCAAAGCCGCTGTCAACTCTGATCCTATCAGATACGCGTGTCCTTAGATAAGGGATCATATATTCCTCCATTCTAGATATCATATAAGACATGATTTCTAATCATTCTCTTTGTACTACTTCTTGATTTCTGATTTATGACGACTGACTGATTGAACAAATCAAATTAGCCCTAGCCCGGCCGAACATTTACGTTTGTCATCACTAAACCATCAAGGGGCCCAAAAGATATCGCTTTTATTCTACTTTGAATAAAAGGAACGGATAAACTTTGATACAATGCTCGCTTGCACTCACTCACCGAATCACACACAACAATATGTTTTATAACACGAAGTTACTAGTGCGTTTACATATTATCAATGTGCAACCGATTCGCAAGATACAACTCACACATCTCAGTTTCAAGAATATAAGATGTTATCGTCTCACCAATCACTCATGATTCAATTCATGGAGTGATCCAAGTGAGCATGGGTTTAATCCAATGCTCAAATCATATTCATAAGCACTCATGAACGTTGCAGCAAACATTTGCTTATGTCTAATACTCTTGTAGACAATCCACACACCAATTCATAACAGTCTTCATTCATATCTACTTCCAACACATGAACGACTGTGGTCCATTCGAATAATTCGATTATTCTTAATAAACTCAATTATTCTGGAAGTCAAAACATGCAATGTGAAACACAACAATAATACTAATCCTATATGGCCTCAAACCTTTGAGTATAAATAAAACACGTTTTATTTATCACCATATCGATTACTCATTATTTGTCGTTTCGGGTAATCAACTTCTTACTTGAATTATTACACTTGTCCCATGCTCCTAGCATGCACACAATGTTTACCTATGGTTCTTACTTTTGTGAAATAGACAAATTGAACACATTTCCAATCATTCTCATTTTACAACTCCAAATCCTTTTTCATAAGTGTAAGAATATCAAATTCTTGCTACTTATAGAATATGCTAGATTCTAACACTTTACGCAACGAACCTTTCGTAATGTCACTGCACCAAAGTCACAAAGACTATTGTCAATGATATTACAAAATCTTCTATCGGCAATTTTTACAAGACAATTCCTTAGATATGATGTCTCTTACTCAAAGTACATTCCTTTGAACATCCTTTTGCATAAAAGTTTCTAATCTAGTCATAGATTTTCAATATTCAATTCCTAATATGGACACGCTTCCATATTTTCTATATGACAACTCATTCTTAATAGAATCTTATCTATTCGTAATGATGTCAATATGGTCCATCCAATACGATGCTTCCAACTACTCACAAGCAACCAATCTTCGTCGAACTTTGGATTGTCCTTTGATAGTTGTTTAATTATTTTAGTCAAAACCGATTCTAGTCCCTTTTCCCTCTAAATGCGCTGGACATTTGGAAAATTTTAGAATGGTCAAACATTAAAGCATGTGCAATCGATCCTATACCCGAAGCGTATGGGACACGACGCACAATGTATTATTTTCTATGTTCTCAAAATTCGAATTGTGAAGAGGAATGCCGTAATCATAATTGAAATTTTAAGAACACACTATGTACCTTTGACTAAATTTATTAACATTCCACAACCTAATCCTTTAGATTTGAAATGAAGCATAATATTCTCTCCCTTAATTATAGCAAAACAACTTTACAACCTTTACGACTTTGCAAGGTATAACTCTTGTTTTTCTATAATTAATATTGCCAACTTGCAATACGTACCTTAATAATCATACAATCATAACATTTATGCTCCCACTATCATGATGATTATTATAACACATAACACTTATGCTCCCACTAGCTTCGACATGTATTCACAAACATCTTAACTTTCAGAAAACAATACCTATTGAATTTCTTAAGTCCATGTTTCTAATACTTAATGCTTTGATAATCTTTTATCAAGGCCTCTTGAACTTATACACCTTTGCCTTAGATAGTTCATATGTGTGTCTTAAACAATTAAGACTAATTTCCAAACCTCACAATTCAAATCATGGAAAGGGATACCGTAACCATAATTGAATTCAAGAATGCAACTTTACAATCACTATCTTCTTAAAATCTTTCTTAGTGAAAGCATTTCCTCACAATCATTTTCATGAAGGAGGAAATCTTATGACACTTAGATTTAAATGGTGTATTTGTTCCTATCCATGTGAATTTGTTAAAAATAGAGTTTACGACAAATTCAAACTCATATGGATCGAACTTTCTTAATCTTGATTTCTTGCCTTATGGTAGCACAGCTGCCCACCACGTCTTCCAAGTAGTTAAGTAGCTCACCCTTTCCTATCAATGTACCTTTCATTGATTAAGGTTCTTTCCTTGTTATGCGTTCAAAATGAGAACTCATAGAACTCACATGCATAATTAACTCAATTGGAAACAGCACAGAAACAAAATAATGTCAACACGATAGGTTGTAAACCTCAACTCGTGTGCTAGTGATGATCGATAAGGTTTATTTGATTTGTTCTTGAAACCTTTCAAGACCATTAAGACTCCCACTGACTCCTTGACATATAAGATTCTCTTGTCAATAAACATTTGTTGACAACCAAATATTCAAAAGTTATTGTAGCTTTTATCAAAACACTTCATAAATTGGTCCTAGTTGGCCTTTGTCTTATCCAAGACATAACAACTTTCCACATTTGATGAATGTTATAAGCCTTTAATACTTTTTCACTCATTGTCACAATCTTAACTTTAAGACTTGTTGTTGGAACGAAGTATGATAGACTTCTTGATTTAACCATTTCTTCAATCCTTGATCTCTCTTCTTAGACATACAATTGTACTAAGATTCACTTAGAGGATCAATTGAGATATGGTTCTTAATCATTAAGACCCATTATAAAGCATAAAAGCTACTCTCCCTTCTTCTTAGAATGGAGAAAATTTTATCTTACTACCTACTTGATTCTTCTTATTCATTCTACTATTGATCTAAACCCTTTAATCAATTTAGAATTACACTTAATCTTGTAGGTGTAATCATATTTACTAAGCCTTTAGTAAATCATGACGAATATCTTTGTTACTCTTATGGTGAACTTGATCAACACACAACTTTGTGTACTCGATCTCCTAGTCCTTCACTTGACACTTTGTCAACAAATTTGTCTAATTTCCAAATATGAAATTTCTCATTCATCATGCAACCAAGTTGCGTGATTCCAAATTTCAGTCCAATTGAAACTTGGGCGATGAGAAACTCTCCCTATTTGGTAAATTCTTGACATTTCCATAAATAACATAACTAAGAATCATATCCATCCGTTGTAGAAATATTTAAACATCAATTTTCATAACGATTTCATTGCAAGGAAATAAACAAATAAATAAGTAAGTCAAATTTATTTTATTTATAAAAGCAGCGGAAAAACATTTGTCCTTACAATGCAAAATCTATTGAAAACTATGTAAAAGGAAAATTTCTAATAACTCTATCATAACTATCTAAGCTCAAAATCCAATCTTCAAGTCCATGCGATCAAGATCCATCTCTTGTGATTAGATTCGTCTTGCTCTCTTATCAAGCTTCTTTTCTTTTCACCAATCCTTCAAAACATTCAAATGCAATCTTATCACATCATGTATTAAGAATCAATTAATATGAACTTAACGGAGTTAGATAGTGGATTTTACCTAAAGCGTAGCCATACTTTTGACTCTCCCATCTCTTAGATCTTTTAGGTAAATAGGGCAACTTCGTATCCAATGCCCCTTCTCTTGGCAATAAAAGCAAATTGACTCTTTTGGAACAACACATGGAACTACTTCAGACATCGCCTTTCTCTTATGATCAAATTTTTCGATCATTGCATGTCTTTCATTGCCATTGTCTATATCCATAGAGGTCTCGAAGGCAGATTCACCAATCAACTTTGCTTTTCTATTGCGCCAAACCATTGCTGATTCAGCAGCAATAAGCATATAGGTGATATCAATAAGGGTCACGGCGTGGTTCATCATATAGTACTCTCTTACAAACTCACTATACGAGTTAGGAAGTGACTGAAGAACC